GCCCCTCATGAAACCACCAGGGTTTGAATCTTGTACGTTGGTGTGTTTTTACTCCCAGGTAGTTTTCAACACTTATTCCTGACCAGGGTGGTTTCCACCACTTATTTTCTTCTAAAAATCAGGGCTCACGAAATTCAATAAAGAAGAGTTTCTCGGTGAAGAGTCTCTGTGTGAAAAGTATGTGCAAGAAGAGTTTCTGGGTGAAGAGTCTCTGGGTGAAAAGTATGTGCAAGAAGAGTTTCTGGGTGAAGAGTCTCTGGGTGAAAAGTATGTGCAAGAAGATGTTCTGGGTGAAGAGTCTCTGGGTGAAAAGTATATGGGTGAAAAGTATGTGCAAGAAGAGTTTCTGGGTGAGGAGTCTCTGAGTGAAAAGCATCTGGGTGAAAAGTATGTGCAAGAAGAGTTTCTGGGTGAAGAGTCTCTTGGTGAAAAGTCTGTGCACGAAGAGTTTCTGGGTGAAGAGTCTCTCTGGGTGAAGAGTCTCTGTTTGAAAATATGTGCAAGGAGAGTTTCTGGGTGAAGAGTCTCTGGGTGAAAAGTATATGGGTGAAAAGTATGTGCAAGAAGAGTTTCTGGGTGAAGAGTCTCTGGGTGAAAAGTAAATGAGCGAAAAGCATGTGCAAGAAGAGTTTCTGGGTGAAGAGTCTCTGGGTAAAGAGTCTCTGGGTGAAAAGTATGTGCAAGAAGAGTTTCTGGGTGAAAAGTATATGGGTGAAAAGTATGTGCAAGAAGAGTTTCTGGGTGAAGAGTGTCTGGGTGATAAGTATATGGGTGAAAAGTATGTGCAAGAAGAGTTCCTGGGTGAGTCTCTGGGTGAAAAGTATATGGGTGAAAAGTAGGTGCAAGAAGAGTTTCTGGGTGAAAAGTATGTGCAAGAAGAGTTTCTGGGTGAAGAGAAGAGTCTCTGGGTGAAAAGATGCGCAAGAAGAGTTTCTGGGGGTGAAAAGTATATGGGTGAAAAGTATGTGCAAGAAGAGTTTCTGGGTGAAAAGTATGTGCAAGAAGAGTTTCTGGGTGAAGAGTCTCTGGGTGAAAAGTATGTGCAAGAAGAGTTTCTGGGTGAAGAGTCTCTGGGTGAAAAGTATGTGCAAGAAGAGTTTCTGGGGGTGAAAAGTATATGGGTGAAAAGTATGTGCAAGAAGAGTTTCTGGGGGTGAAAAGTATATGGGTGAAAAGTTTGTGCAAGAAGAGTTTCTGGGTGAAGAGTCCCTGGGTGAAAAGTATATGGGTGAAAAGTATGTGCAAGAAGAGTTTCTGGGTGAAGAGTCTCTGGGTGAAAAGTATATGGGTGAAAAGTATGTGCAAAAAGAGTTTCTGGGTGAGGAGTCTCTGGGTGAAAAGTATATGGGTGAAAAGTATGTGCAAGAAGAGTTTCTGGGTGAAGAGTCTCTGGGTGAAAAGTATATGGGTGAAAAGTATGTGCAAGAAGAGTTTCTGGGTGAAGAGTCTCTGGGTGAAAAGTATGTTGGTGAAAAGTATGTGCAAGAAGAGTTTCTGGGTGAAGAGTCTCTGGGTGAAAAGTATATGGTTGAAAAGTATGTGCAAGAAGAGTCTATGGGTGAAAAGTATGTGGGTGAAAAGTATTTGCAAGAAGAGTTTCTGGGTGAAGAGTCTCTGGGTGAAAAGTATATGGGTGAAAAGTATGTTCAAGAAGAGTTTCTGGGTGAAGAGTCTCTGGGTGAAAATAATGTGCAAAGCATAGTTTCTGGGTGGAAGATCTCTCTGGGTGAAAAGTATATTGGTGAAAAGTATGTGCAAGAAGAGTTTCTGGGTGAAGAGTGTCTGGGTTAAAAGTATATGGGTGAAAAGTATGTGCAAGAAGAGTCTCTGGGTGAAGAGTCTCTGGGTGAAAAGTATATGGGTGACAAGTATGTGCAAGAAGCGTTTCTGGGTGAAGAGTCTCTGGGTGAAAATATATGGGTGAAAAGCATGTGCAAGAAGAGTTTCTGGGTGAA